GTGTGAGATTGGTGTTGTGCAGATTTCTCCCGTTTATTAACTCTTGGGCTGACAGACATGTATCTCTGTTTTTAGGCATGATCCAGGAGTAAGAGCGTTGCAAGTGAATTATAATCTGTATAGGATCGCTCGAATGTCTACTGCACAGCCTCTGAAGAAGTTAGTCTCGGGCGTTGTCCTTGACTTGGATGGCACTCTTTTGAACACAGGTGGGTTTTTTATTTTTGTATGTCGTGTCCACATGCCATTCCATAGTCTTGTCGTTCTTTCACCTGTCTTTCCGTTGTGAAGACAATTCATGAAATGAGCCATTTTTGTCATCTGTGCATCTGTATGTGTTTTCTGTATTGGTCAAGATGCAATTTGAATAGGATCAATTTTAGTCAGAGGGCCATATTGTCCCCTCATAATCTGATGCAGTAGGCAAACACTAGAACTTTCTGGACGAAAAGCATACTTGGAGTGTTTAAAAAAACTATGGTTGAATTCGTATTTTAATGAAGAATCCGATGTCTATGAGTGCTTAAATAATCTAGTGTCTTTGCCTATGTTTTTTTTTTTGGTAAGGATGTCTTTGCCTATGTTGAAGTCCATCCTTTTGACAAATTTGTTATTTTCCATTCATTGCAGATGGCATTGTAAGTGAGATTTTAAAAGTATTCTTGGTTAAATATGGAAAACAGTGGGATGGTAGAGAAGCTCTTAAAATAGCAGGGAAGACACCATTTGAGTCTGCGGCTGTTATAGTTGAAGATTATGGGCTTCCTTGTGCAACAGAAGAACTCATCTCTGAAATCACTCCGATGTTTAGTAATCAGTAATTGAGCTATAAACTTTGTTTAAATTTGTTGCATGCTTATTTCGTATTCAGAGATTTTTAAGACCCGCATTTTGTGATATTATGTATTTCATCAAACAGAGACATTACAGACATTCATTTTATGTATGGCTGAGATCCTAAATTCCTTTTAACCAATGATACCCTATTAGGTCATGTCTGATGGTACATTCTTTGTATTCGTATATAAAGTGTGGTGACAAAATTCTTCTATTAAAAGATGTGCAGTTCATTTGATCAAGACAAGCAATTCATGCGTGGGTTATTATGTTTTCTTGACAACCACTCCACTTGCAATGTCAGGCAGTTGTTTGGTGAATAGAGAAGTTATTAGCAGCTTGCTTTGCATGCACTGTAATACTTGTTGGAGATTTTTTAATTGCTCGGTCATTTGATCTCGGTGCAGATGGTGCAAAATTAAGGCACTTCCAGGTGCCAACCGGTTAATAAAGCATTTGAAACGGCATGAAGTACCAATGGCACTGGCATCTAATTCTCCAAAAGCAAACATTGAAACGAAGATATCTAATCATCAAGGTAGGTACTTCATATCCTTGAAGTCCTTTGACCTGCAGTTGGGACTGCTAAACCAACTATGCATTAAAACATAGGTTGGAAGGACTCATTTTCTGTCATCATTGGGGGCGATGAAGTGAGGAACGGAAAACCATCTCCTGAAATGTGAGAGCTATATATTAATATTGTATAGTCATCTTCACATCATTCAAATTACTAGTAATGGAGTATCTTCTTCTGAACTGTAGCCTTTGCTATGAATTCCAGATTTCTTGAAGCAGCTAATAGATTAAAGATCGAACCTTCTAACTTGCTGGTTATTGAAGATTCTGTGTAAGTGATTTATATCGTCAACAGTGATAATTTTGCCCTTTGCTCTGGCATTATGAATCTTCTGCTTCATAAGTGTCGTGAGGTTGTCATTATGCTCACTTCTCAGTTCCACATTACGGTGTGATTCGTCAGAAAATTGGATCAATCTTTCCCACAATTGGCATTGCATTGAGGTTACGAATTACTTGGTGTTGCTATCGTTTGTCAAAATAGTTTCTATCAGCACAAACTTTGGGTCTTTCTTTCTTCTCTCCCTGTCTAAAATATATATTCATATTGACTGGTCCATTTATTCAATTAATAAAAAGTATAAAATGGTCATGAGCATTCTCGATATTTTTGCTAGGTGTATGTTACCAATGAGTTTCCATACTGGATAGTTTTGGTAGGATTACATCTTCCTATTCTGTTTTTCCTTGTCTTTGTCGTCTAAAGGAGAGCTTCGATTAAGGTAGCATTGTGGAGGGCCTTCCTTTGTACATTGTATACGTCATCCTGGAATGAGTCCACCATCTCCCGGTCGCATCGGACTCTTTTTCATGTCTGGGCCATTATTTTCCCAGTTTTCACTTGTTTATTCAATGTCAGACCTGGTGTTACTGCTGGCAAGGCTGCCGGAATGGAAGTAGTTGCTGTGCCATCCCTTCCCAAACAGAATCACCTTTACACTTCAGCCGACGAGGTCATCAACTCATTACTTGATTTGAGACCTGAAAAGTGGGGCTTGCCTCCATTTCAAGATTGTAAAACGCTAGACCTTCACTCGCGTTTATGCTTTATGATAGCTAGCTTTATCATGTCAGCTTCTTATTCAGAAGATTGGTTTTAATGGCAGGGATCGAGGGCACTTTGCCAATAGAACCATGGCATGTCGGTGGCCCTGTCATCAAGGGATTTGGTCGTGGCTCCAAAGTTCTTGGGATTCCAACAGGTACTGTCAGATACCTCTCCCTCCCCCCCTGCCCCCCCCTCCTTTTCTGGTGTGATGATATTGTTCTTCGTTCGTTGTTGTTGTTTCCACTTCACCGCGATATTGGATACGTAAGCATTGAAGTGCCATCTCTCTTAACAAATAATATATTAAGTAGCAGTGTTTTAGATCCTCTTTTAATTTCCAGACAGGAAAATGCGAAGTTGTTCTTATTGTGATATTTTAGACTACTATTATACTAGTAACGAATGAATCCCACAGATGCATATTTGATACTGCTTTTAGTTTCTCATACTTCAGCTCAAACGTTTGTGATTGCCAATTCTATGTCATTTTTTTTTATAGCTTCAAGAGTTTGGTACTTAGACTAACCGTTCCCCTTATAAAACATTTTTCTTATCCAGCAAATCTATCGACAGAAGGATATTCAGATCAACTCACGGAACATCCCTCCGGAGTGTATTTTGGTTGGGCTGGACTATCAGCCAGAGGCATCTATAAAATGGTCATGAGCATCGGTTCGAATCCATACTTTGACAACAACGAAAAGACAATCGTAAGTGATCCCAACAGATGGTGCAATCTGCAATCACTTTCTCCTTCCGCAACTCGCTTTATTGGATTTCTTTTCTGTAGGAGCCCTGGTTGTTGCACAAGTTCAACGAGGATTTCTATGGGGAGGAACTGCGTCTTGTTATCGTCGGCTATATACGACCAGAGGTATCATCTAAACTCGCATCTCTTTTACTCTGGCATTTCTTCTGTTTCAGGCAAATCGAGTACGAGATTGTGCTCCTCTTTGGCTATTAAGGCTCACATAAATCTGCTATGGAAACATCAGGCGAATTTCCCGTCGCTCGAGAGCCTAATTGCAAAGATCCATGAGGATGGGGAAACCGCGGAGAGAGCTCTCGATTTGCCATTGTATGCGAAGTACAGGGATGACCCGTATCTGAAAACGCCTTGACAACGGGCATTTCCCATTCGCAATTAACAGTGTAGACGACCGTATCCTATTGTTGGGAACAAAAACCGAACCGATTTCACGACATTGCAAGGAATCACCAAAGTCCTTACTCAATTGAGCATGATAATATAAGAGGCTTGTAACCGCTAATCCATGAACATCTTGTATCTATGAACCAGGAAAGGCAGGAAGCAGATGGTCATCTCATGCCAATCACAATAATTCAGGTACAAGCAATTCGATGGAGACATTGTTTCTGCGACTCAGAAACTGGTTTGGAGACATTGGAGTCCAGCACTAAGATTTTTAAAAAGATTGCTTTCTTTTCAGAAATTTTTTCTGGGTGTTTGTGATAGGTGAAGGCAAAGCTGCAATTATTGCATACAACCAAAACCATTGGATGGAAAAGGTTTGAGTCGTCCTCCTTTGCATCTTCTGGGGCATATTCTTGAAGCATATATGGAACCTCGTAGTAGTTATAATTAGAACCGAAATGGACCGACAAAGAAACTCAAAAATTAGTTCCGTCCCCCGATGCAAATGCTGTAAAATTGAGGTCCTAGCAACTGCAAATCTGCTGATTTTCCGGGGACGTATGTTGCAAGTGAGAGCAAACAGAGAACATGAGCATATATGCCCGAAGGAAAACGTGCAAAACGTGGAAGGACATAGAGTGAAAGAGCAAAACAAAGGACATGAGCACAAGCTACACATGCTATTTTGATTTTGAGCATATGTTAAAATAATTCAAAACTTAAAAAAATGTTTTAACGCCGACCTATGTTGTTTGGTCAAAAGTTATGGGCCAAATTTTGGTCAAGAAAATTATTTTTAGCGATTATTAAAGCATTGTTGCACTTAGAAAGGTAAAAGAAAATCCAAGATTGTTTAGGGTTTACTCATCTGTAGCAGCAACATTTTTCCATCATTCTAGAATTGTTTATCGAGCATCATCAATTTGCGAGGACAAAATTCAAATAAATATAATTATCATCGACTTAGTTGTATATTTTTTTAGGAAATGTAATGGGGGCAAAGTTATCGTTTTAGGCAAGCACTAATTTTGCATATCTTAAAAACTCTGGCTAAATTTACGTCCGCCCCTGACTGCATAAAGGACGTTCATAACATATAATTTACGTCGAATGTTGCCAAATCCAAGGATAAACAAATCATTTCGAAAAGAATAGAATCGAATCATTAAATAATGTAGGGTATAAGAACCCCACAGGATTTAAATTTAATTTGAAAAAAAGCAATTTGAAGAATCCCAATTAAATAAATGAAATGATCGACCCAAGAAAAAAAAAAATCAATGCTTTACCCCCCAAAAAGGGGTCTGTCGCATTATATTGTCTCTGCATTCACAGCATCATTACCATAACATCAGGCCCACAAAAAGCAGAAGACTTCACTTTATTTTTCAACACATTTTCATCATTTCTTTCATTTATATATATTTATAATATTTTTTCTTTACCTAAAAGCAAGACGTGCCAAAGAAAGATTTAAAAAAAAGTAAAAAGCAAAAAGAAACCCCATAGAAAAAAACAAGAGAAACTCATCCTTATCCCAACATCCCTCGAACCTCGCGACACAGGACACTGACCGCCGCTAATTCCCGGCCTAAACCCGGTCCGAATTGAGGTTCGACTCGGTTCACCCGGTCGAACCGTGTACCAAGTCTAGACAGAGTTTTAATACAACAGTAACAGCGAACCAAACCCCCCACAATATCTACAGACCGCGGTGCATGGATGACGACGATCGGTCCCACGTGGCGCGATCACAAGAGGGTCTTGCACGCCGACGTCTCCGGGTCCCACATCGCCGGCAGCAGGAACTTCCGGCCGCCGAGCCCGTGGGCGTTGTAGCTCGCCCCGGTCACCTTGTCCACCAGGAGCCGGCCCGGATACCCCGGGTACGCGCCCGACCCGTATATCCCCGTGCACGCCGACACGGCCTCCAGCGGCGCGTTCGCCGGGCCCTGGAAGTACCCGCCCCCGAACGGGTTCGTGACGGCGCCGGCGAGGAGCGTCGCCAGGTTGATCACCATGCCGTCGGCCCCGACGTCGCCGCTCGGCGCCACCAGCGGCGGCGTCTGCGGGCCGTACATGGGCTGGTGGAACGGCCACGCGCACTGCCCCGGGCACTGCGTCTCCGAGTTCCCGACCCAGACGAAGGCCGACCCGGGCCGGGACGACCCGTGAGTCCCGCAACGCATGCAGAACCCGTCCACGGCGACGTCCGCGGCCGTCAGGACAACGGTGATGGTGCCGGCGACGGCGTTGAACTTCCCGGCGAGGGCGCGGAGGTGGCGGTTATTGAGGGACTTCCCGAGGGTGTACGCCTCGTGGAGGGCCTGCCTCCCGACGACGAGGTTGGAGCTGCCGCCCTTGTACTTCTCGGTGGTGCGCCACCAGGAGGCGGCGGAGGGGGGAACGGAGCGGGCGGAGCCGAGGGAGCGGATGAAGTCGACGATGACGGAGCGCTGGGTGGGGCTGAAGCGACCGTACCAGACGAGGTCGACGGTGACGTTGCCCTTCAGGAGAGCACCGTCGTGGTACTTGAGGACGAGGGGCTGTTGCTGGACAAGGGCGGCGGTGGAGGAGGAGATGGAGCTCGAGAAGAGGAAGAGGAAGAAGAAGAGGGAGAGAGCGAGAGAGTGAGAAGCCATTGATGTGACTTCGAAGCTTTGACAGAGAGAGATTGAGAGAGAGAAGAGAGAGACGAGTGCGAAAAAAATACGAAGGGAGATGGTATTTATAGTGGGAAGAGGAGAGGAGAGGGAGACAGCTGTGGGAGAGAGCTAAGTATTTTTTTTTTCTATCCATCGTTTTTATATATTGTTAATCATATTCGTTTTCTTTTCTTCTGTCCATAATCAAATTCATTTTCTATACATATAGATATGGCCAATTTTGGTTATGGTAGTGCCTGTACGCGATGATGCGATTAAATCAAATATCGGGTCCGATCCATTATACATAATACGATTAAACGTGGATTATTCCTTGTACCGTCGGAACCAGAAATTCTTACTTGAACTTGAGTTTATGAATCAAGTGCAATTTTTGTGATTGGATTTCACCGCATTCACGCAATCATACTAATTTTGATTGATTCGGATTCAATAAATATTAGATCATTAGAAAGATAAAATAAACCATACACGGAATGAGAGAGATAATCAAAAAAGTTTATTATGTACATGATAAAATACACTTAAAACTATGAATCTCATGTCTCGTGAGATAACCATCCACACTGATTTTAAGGCCAAAAGCCCCCAAAAAGAAAAAATCTATGCCCTAGACAGAACTAGCCTTACGTTTTTAAAAGATCCGGAAAAAGTATCTCTTACTCTTGCACAAAATTGGACGCAAATGTACTTTCTATCCAAGATTCTAGGTGGTAGCTGAGGTGATTAATATTTTTTTTTAAGCAAAAAAAAGCTGAGGTGATTAATAATGCGACATTTATTATTAAAAAAAATGAAAAAAAGCGATAATAATTTTAATATCAAGGGAAAGTAATTTATAGTAAGGTAAAAAAGCATTCCTAACATGTTTGGCACCCTCGTCGCTGCTAGCGAACTGATCTCTTGGGTCATGTGCAATTAAGTGATCATCGCGGCGGCAGCTACCCATGACGAGGGGTGGCGAGAGGGGTTCGCCAAATTGAGGATGAAATTGGGTTTGCGAATTCTTTTTTGTGTCTCTTTAATGTAGATTACCTTTCGTTGGATCATTAATTTCATTTTTCAAAATTTTCTATAATGAAAATTTCTCGCGTCAATCTTTTTTTTTCTCTTTAAGTTAAATGATAATTGCACTTGAATTCTTAAAACTTGTCACGAAAGTGAAATTGAGTCCTACAAGTTTCAAAAAAGTACGATCAAATCCTAAAACTTGTAACGAAAGTGAAATCGAGTATTAAAATTTTCAAAAAAGTACAATCAACGAAAGGACTTGATTAGATAAATTTGATAAGTTTTACAACTTAATTACACTTTTTAAAAATTGTAGTACTCAATTATATTTTCGTGATAAATTTTAGTACTTTCAGTGTACATATATCTTATTATTTTTTTAATGTATTTGGTACATGTAACGTAATGGCGTAGGATACTCGTGCGGGCAATAATGAGCGTGCGCAAAAATACAATCATCCCGTGAGAGAGAGAGAGAGAGAGAGAGAATCCGGGGTCAACGTCAAAGGGGTTGCCACGTGGAGAGAACCGGTTGGTGGGCGATGTGTGGATGGGAGTCTCTGCCAGGCTGTGAGGGGGCGAGGGGACGGGGGTTCTTAGGGATGACGTGGCGGTCTGAGCTGTAGCCCGTAGGGGAGGGAGGGGGGAGGCTCGCCGTAGCTTTCTTGACGGGCGGCCCTGTGACTTTAGGGCTTCTAGAGGGACCCCCCCGCCATGCACGCCAATTTTGAAGAGAGCCCCCCCAAAAAAAGAATTAATTAAAAAAATAAATTGGTTGATATTATGTTTGATTATTTAGATGCTAAAAAAATCAAAATAAAAGGACTATTGATTTGTGAATTATTGTGGACCCGTTATTGAGGCGGATGGAAAACAACTTTTCACACGTAGGCATCGCGGTCGTTGATATCATTAGAATGTCCAATACAAAAATTTAGACTGATAGATTGAAAGAGACCTTACGTATATAAAAATCATATAAGCTCAGAGACAAGCAATGTGAATACTTCGACAGACAGTAGCGGTAGAAACAAATGGACAGGATGAATGTGCATTTAGTTTTTCTCCACGATGTTGGAAATTCAAAACGGGTATGTTGTCCCACAACATGGCCCTAGCCTCGGCCTAAAGGAACTCCCTTTTTGTCTCCAGGTACCATTAATAAATATCGAAAAAATTTCGAGTCTCAGAAACTTCCCAATTGAATTTATAAACCTTTGGCAAAAAAGTGCTAAACCTTTAAAATTTGTGCCAATTTAGTCCTAAACCTTTTTTTTGTGTCAGTTCAGTCCTAAACCTTTGCAATTGTGCCAATTTAGTCCTAAACCTTTTTTTAGTGTCAATTCAGTCCTAAACCTTTTGCATTTGTGTTAATTCAGTCCTAAACCTTTTGTCTTTATGCCAATTCAGTCCTTCCGCCCAATTTTGGGTCGGATTTTGCTGATGTGGACGCCGACCGGCTGGTGGCTGGTCACCGGCGCTGACGTAAATAATTTTAATAATACATTTAATATTTTTTTGAATTTTTATTTATTCTTTTCTTTTTTTTTTCTTTTTCCCTCCCCTCCCTCCTTCCTCCAGCTGTTCGCCGAACTGGCAACCGGCCACTGGCGAGGGCGCCTCGTACTGGGCGAGGCTTGCCCTCCCCAGCGACGGAGAAGGCGAGGCCCGACCTCGCCAGATCTGGCGAGGTCAAGCTTCGCCCAACCGCTGGAGGCCGCGGCGAGGGCTCGAGCCTCATCGGCAGCTGGCACGACCTTGCCGAATCTGGCGAGGTAGGGCCTTGCCTTCGCCGTCGCTGGCGAGGGCGAGGGCGAAGGCGACCCTCGCATAGTGCGAGGCTACCCTCGCCAGTGGCCAGTCGCCGGTCCGGCGACCGGCTGAAGGAAGGAGGGAGGGGAGGGAAAAAGAAAAAAAAAGAAAAGAATAAATAAAAATTCAAAAAAAATATTAAAATTGTGCACGTCAACGTTGGTGACCGCCCGCCGGCCGGTCGATGTCCACGTCAGTAAAATCCGGCCCAAAATTGGTCGGAATGACTGAATTGGCACAAAAACAAAAGGTTTAGGACTGAATTGTCACCAATACACAAGGTTTAGGACTAAATTGGCACCAAAAAAAGGTTTAGGACTAAATTGGCACAATTACAAAAGGTTTATGACTAAATTGGCACAAACGCCAAAGATTTAAGACTTTTTTGGCACTTTTGCCCCCCTAACCTCGGCCCCCTTTTTGTCTCCAGGTACCATTAATCAATATCTAAAAAATTTCAAGTCTTGGAAACTTCCCAATTGAATTTATAAATATTTAACTTGTCATTAGAAAGAATTGGAAGAAACAACATGTTTCTCTTTTCAAATGAGGCCCTGCAAGAACTTCTGAATTTACAATCAATTGCCAAAGGCAAGAGCGGAATCGTCATTTCGCTCCAATTCCTCACCCTTTCTCTCCAATTTAGAGGGCACAAAATCATCTCAATTCTGCACCCATTTCTTTCTCGATCTTTCAATTTCACCCCCCACCCACTATTCCATACACTTCCAAAGATAGGATTAGGAGAAAAGATGAGTCTTCATTTGAGGACAATGCATCAAACCATTGCTTCAGTCCAGTCTTGACCCATGATCGTGTGGATCAGATCGCACGGACAGCTCGCCGAATCGCGTTTTGATTTTCACCGGGACGAGTTAGATTAGAATAGATTAGACCCGACCTTGGCTTTGATTGGATGATCTCATGCATTAATTTGCACAGTTTACACCCTAAATTCTGCACCGACTCTCTCATCTCACCTCGCCTCATCGTCACTTCTCACATCTTCTGTCTTTAGTTTTCTCTGCAAAGAGCCTCAAGTTCCACGAAACGCATTGATGGCCAGCGGCGTCCGAATGGGAAAGAGTCTTTGGCTCTTCAAAGAGACTTTGACCTTTTCTACTTTGGAATTTGTGCAAAGCAGAATTTTAGGCCAATTTGCTATATCATTTCTAAATGTTTAATTTATCCAGTGTGATCCATAAGATTTAGCTCAACATGCATTATCGTCCTTGAGCTTTTAATTTGGGATCTTTGAACTTTTGGTAAGTGTTCAATTTAGTTCATGAACTGCATATTGATCATTTTCATAAAATCCATGGACTAATTTGAACACGTACCAAAAATTTTAGGATCACGTTAAATAAATTAAAAGTTTAGGGATGATATTGTAAATTTGGTTAAAATTCAGAGGCATACTAAATCAATTAAAAGTTCAAGGATAACATTGCATGTTGAGCTAAAATTCAAAAATTATTTAATGCTATTTGCCCTAGCATTTTCTTAAATTTGGGTTTAAAGGAGCGTCCATGCACAAAATCCAAAGTAGGAAAGTCGGTCTCCTTTTAAGAGCCATAGGATTCTGTCTCCATTCGGACGCAAGCTGGTCATGTGGGCGTTTTCTTCACGTTGTATTGATGGAGGAGGGATGGTGAGGTGAGGTGAGCTCACATAGTATTATTAGTCGGCCAACCACAAGGAAATTGGGGGGGGATAAAGGTGAAGAGTGTGTGGTACGTCGCGGGGGTGCTTCGAACGCATCCAATTCTTGGTTTATAGCTGGCATGCATGGGAGAGTCAACAAAGCCTCACCCCTTTTTCCTAGAATTGGGTGTCGACCCCGACAAAATTCAAACTCTCTTTCATCGTTTGGTTTCCTTCACCAAATCTCTATGTTCTTATCTCTTATAATGGGACAATATAAGACTCCCTTCGAAGGTCCTTGTGCTCATAATTTTGGACATGACCCGTTTGCACGATATGTCAGCCATTCCAGACGAGAAACGCACTAAAAAAGCACTGGATATAGTACGAGAAGATGCACTTAATTTGTACGTTGGTTCGAATCAACACGTGTTCATTGTAAAACTAACTGTTTGATTTTATTATCACAATCATGATGTTCTATGCAAGCCGAGGCTACCATTATGACACGGTAGTACAAATTGTCAAATCACGATTAGGTTTGTAAAAGTTATTTACATGGGAGATTTTTTT